AAGCATAGAAGCAGTGATCTATAAACACTTTCTATGTCTGGGAAACAAACAGATGAGCTCTGAGCCAGATTTCCTGTCAAAGCTTTAAAACAGAGAGCATAAAGTTACATAGACATGGATAGACCTTGCATCATGGGGTGAGAGGCATGCTGGCAGAGCGGCCATCTTTGGTCAGACTGAGCTCTAAGCTGAGGCTAGTCAATTGAGCCTAACCCTACTTTATGACTTTAGACACTCTGTGACTCTCAGCCTATGTCCAGATAAATGGACTGACTGAACACGTTGTTCCACAGGCAACATTGACCAACTGGTTGATATAAATCACTTTGTAATTTGAATGATTGTGTTTAAATAAATATAACGCTGATCTAGAATCAGAGCAAATTAAACTTCTTAATGGAACAATTCCTTCAATCCATTCTAAGGCCAATATGATCCAAAACATTTCTCCTTTGGAGGCTGAATTCCATCACTGATTCTTTTACCCCATTTAAAATTTAATTCTGTAACTAGAAGGAAACACAATTCCTAATATTGGAATCTTTTGAAGCATCCCTAAAAATGTTCCCATATCTAAAATATTTTTATCTAAATATTGTTAAACCATATTTGAATGTGAAATATCCTCCTAATTTCTCTTTTTAAACAGCAAAATTAAATCGATATCAATAGCAGGCAGAAAGAGAGTGATGAGGTGATGATCTAATAACTGTTTTACTGACATTTATATCATGATCGGTTTAACGAATCTGAGCCACATGCAGTGGAACCACTCAGAGAGCACAGAGCAGGTTTAACAGGTTTATTAAGGAGTCAGAGGAGTGGATGTGGAACTCAGTGAGCTGGTGACCTGGAACTGGAAGTGAGAAGGGAAGTTCAATGGTCAGTTCAGGTTCTGTGGGAAACTTGGAAGCTCTGATATCTAACGTGGTTTAGAACTCACGTTTGAGGGGGGCCTTGTTAGGCTTTGAATCCAGACTGTGTGGTGAATCCAGAGTGAGGTGCACACGTTGGAGGGCGGACAGGTTTGACCCGCGTAGGACCCGGAGGAGAAATGGAGCGGACTGTCACTCAGATTTCCCATGGGAACTTAAACAGAACATATGGAGGTTTTCCCCTACTCAGTGTGACTCAGTTTATCCTTCCAGGGGGAGAAGGTCCAGGAATCCAGTAACACAGGAAGGCTTCCTGCCGAGGAGCAAAGACAAAAACATGTTAGGCTCAGATAAAACAAAGCTAGGTTAGACTCAGCTAATCTCAGCTTGGCTAGAGTACCCAAAAGAGCGCAGAGAGCAGGTGGAGCGCAGAGAGCAGGTGGAGTGCAGAGAGCAGGTGGAGCGCACAGCTGCCGTTGAGCGCAGAGAGCAGGTGGAGCGCAGAGAGCAGGTGGAGCGCACAGCTGGCGTTGAGCGCAGAGAGCAGGTGGAGCGCAGAGAGCAGGTGGAGCGCAGAGAGCAGGTGGAGCGCACAGCTGGCGTTGAGCGCAGACAGCAGGTGGAGCGCGAGCAGAGATGGATCTGAAGCAGCCCCCCCACCACCACCACCTCTCCCACTGAGTGTCTAAATGTATTCCAACATCCACAGCTGAGGATGATCACTGGAAGCAAAGCCAGAATGTCTGACCCCTCCCCTCCAGAGCCCTGGACACGCCCACCCTGATGCCTTAAACACGGAGGCCTGGAAATGATGCCGACTAAGGTGATCATTCAAACTCTTTATTTATTGGACATTCATTCCAGCTGTGAACCTCTGGTTCTGTTCAGGTGCTTCTGTCAGTAACTCCTGACAACCTTCAGGTGTTTCTCCATAAATCAGAGATAACCCAGCCAGCGCTAAGCTCCTGTCCTGTCCCGAGGACAGTCATGGGACCACGGCGGCTCAGGAGGGAAGGGTCTGCCCTATAACTGCTAGGGTTCATGTCTGGCAGTCTTCATCATTGTGCCCATGAGCAAGGCCCGTCCCCCACCTAGCCTGCTGTTGGTGGTCAGAGAGTCCGGTGGTGCCTGGGTGCATCATCAAGGACACATGAGAACTGTGTGAACGGATGGAGGGCAGAGGCCGAGGGCAGCTCTCCCACAGGATGAGGAACCTGACCTCAGATCAGGGTTGGATGTCAGTCTGTCACGAGTTCCTCAGATGAGACCAAAACAAAATGTGACAAAAAGAGAAGTGAGGAATGAGACGACATCTCGACCAGCTGTCTGTCTGAGGACCAATCAGCATCAGGCTAGCAGACATGATGTCACCAGAGGAGGCGTCCAGCTGTCTGGAGCAGCTGTCAGGTTGTGGGTGACCATGAGGACCTGCTGAGGTTCAGATGCTTCAGCTTTTCTGCTGCAGCTTTCAGCCTGACTCTGACTCTCAGCCTGCGGACGGATTCAGGCCTGAAGGGCCTCCATCCGTCAGAGCAGCAGGGAAAGTTCTGCACCACTTCCTGCCGGTGCTTTCAGCGCTTCCTGCTGAGATTGACTGGTGGTAAATCTGAAGGGCTGCCTGGGAGTTTCCACTGTACTGCAGGTTCTGCTCTGAGTCAGAGGGAAAGCAAACTATCTGCAGCAGCAGCACCGAGTCATTGTGAAGCTCTCTGCAGCGTTCCTCTCAGTCCTCCATCGGTTCTACTAAAACCCCCCAGCTGAAGGAGAAACTGGAGCACACTGATCAGAGGCGGTCCATCAGACAGCCAGTCCCTGAACCGGGACCAGCCCACCAGTCTGGGTCGACTGAGGCTGATGACATGAACTGCTTTAGTTCTGCTAGGTTTAGTCTTAGAAGGCTCCGGTGCTGCCCTCTATGGGTGGAAGGGTGGCTGGTTCAGCGCTGTAAAACAAGCGATTCTGGTCCGATGGTTCCCCTAAACCTCCGGTGATGAGGGGGTGACACTGATACTCACAGATCTGAAGTTAGGACCCTCCCAAATTTCTTTATTTCTTTTCTCAATTTGTTTAGCACAATTCATTAAATGGGCAATTCAAAGTGCTTTAAACAAATTACATAATAAAATAGAAGCAGAATAAAAGCAAAAACATTTGTAAGGCAAATAAAACAACTTGGCATGTAACTGCATGGACTGATTCAGAGAATTGGAATATATGGAATCGGCAGCCATTTTTATTTGGCCTGACACCTCTTCATTAACCGGAAACGAGTGCGTCACGTTATGGCCAGCCAGGAACTGGACCACAAAAAAGCAGAATAAAAAAGCAAGTAAAAAATGATAAAAGCACTAAAGGGCTTCTAGACGCTTCTTTATTGATTGATTTTATTGATCTCACAGTGGAGAAGTTTAGAAGGAGCCAGGAAGAAAAGGTGCATGATGGGAAATATACAGTGGATCCACAAAGGACAGCTTTATTTATAGCAGGATTATTATACAGGGTGTTTCCAGGTGTTTATACAGATGGATATTTCTATATATAGTTATTGGAAAGGGGGTCAGATATAGACCATCCAGCAGATGAAGCTCTGACCCATCAGGAGGCAAGGAGAACCAGAACCTGACAGAGCAGAGACCAGCAGAACCTCAGATACCTGACCAGCCTCCACACTCACAACCCTACTTAGGCCCTGTAATGATGGGTTCTCCAAGAGAACCTGTTCCTGGACGTTCTCCTCGGGGGCCAGAGGCTGCCGAGCGCGGAACGTCCAGAACCTGTTCCTGGACGTTCTCCTCGGGGGCCA